TCGTAGGATTTTCCGTTGGAATATAACATTTTTTTGTAGTGATTGTACTTGATTGATTGTGGCGTTTGTAAGGATGGATTAGGTATATTTTGTGTGTATGGAGTGAGGAATTTACTTTTAGTTAATGTGCATATGTAATTTGAGTTTAAGTATTGGAATTGGTGTGTATTTATTAATCATATAATATATGCATGCATCAATAATGAAGTATATTTATCATTAGTACAATAGGTAGTTCTTAATTTTAATGGTTGTACTAATATTTGTTTGTAGTTAATGTATCATGTACATATATTGAGAGCATAGCTCTAATCTACATAAATTTTACATCTACATCTACTAACCAAATTAATATACAACATAAAAGAACATATAAAAAAATTAAACCCAACATCAATGCAATACGTGTATCCTATTTTCGAATAGCTTTCGAAGAAATATTTGTAACATTTGACTTATCTATATGTAGCATTCCACGAGATTTTGCATTACTAATAGTTGCAAAATTTAGACAATTCTACACAAAAAACTTACTCTACTTTAAATTATTAACGCATTCAAAAGATTTAATTAATAGTAAGGTTGTTGATAGGTAAGTTAACAGTTAAACAGTAATATTATTTCTAACAGATATGTATACTTTCAAATTAACTTATTATTCTAAGAAGTAGCATAAGTAAAATATGACAACCTATAAATATAATTTTTTGTTTAAATAACATAAAATTGTAATAACTCACATCAATTGTTTAAGTCATCTGAATAATTAAACTGCCTCACACATCAACAATCGTCAATCGGTATGGGTAAGAAGGAAAATTATGAACGACTCTAATAGTAAGATTTTGTGGTTTTCCCCATAAATCGGGTCTGCCATGTCAACCAGCATAATTATTGGACTTTGGATAACATCATAGTCTGTCGGGACACAATAGTGAATGCGGTGGCACTCATGCAATCACAACGAACTAATATTCAAATATTAATTTTTCTTATAATTGTTTTTCGTTACATTTTATACTTATTTTTTTTTTCAAAATTTTTATGTATGATTAAAAAATAGTCTAAAATTATAAATAATTTTTGAAAAAATCCAACTGTAACAATAAATTTTATGAAAAACATAAAACTTTTGTACAACATTGAGAGCTCTTTGAATTGAGACTTTGATTAGTTATGAGATATTGGATTTTTTGTTTTAAGTGTGATTTGTGACTTTGAGGAGTGCAATAGGTGTATGAGAGAGAGTCTTGGAGAAGAAGACATCAATTGGTCGTTCTTGATTTGATGTAATCTCTTTCCTTATCATAGGATTTGATACAATCTTTTTCCTAATCTTAAGATTTGACTTGGTAGACAAGAAATAATAATATTATTAATACCTTAAGATTTAACTTGGTAGACAAGAAATAATAATATTATTAATTATATATCTTATTTATTATGAATTTATTTCTAAAAAAAAATAAGGACATTAATTAATAAAATATTAAAATTTCGATGTCTACACCAACCACAAACAACGCTTAGTTTGAAGATTCGTAGTGTTATGTAATTTTATTTTTCGGAATAACCTTTTGATGGGTGTTTGCTTAGGCTTATTTTAAATGGCCTTAATTAGTATCCTTAAGATGTTTTATTAGATCTGATAAATTGACATTTCTTATTTTATAAATAAATTGTTGAAATGTTGGTAACAAAAAATGTTTGGGGTTATAGTGATTCTTAAATGATTAAAATAAATATAGAACAATTATAAGATGTTGGAGAAAAAAACTAAGAGGAGAGGTACTTTCTTTAATGAGTTTATAACAAAGAGCTTATCTTATTTTTGAATCTTATAAACTTTTTTTGAAAATAAATTACCAAATAAATTTATAAGCTATTAAAAATCTAAAATTTTCAAAAAGATCTTTCATAAATCTGTAGTTAAAATACTAGGTGGTGGCTGATAAGTTAATTTATCGTGCATAAGTTAATTTCAAATTTATAACTAATAGTTTATAAAAAACTATTTGATATAAAAAAAAATAATTTGTAGTATTAGCTCATAAATCTGCTGAAACAAAAATCTCGATAGATTTTTCTGAAAAGCGACGTAAAGAAATATTTCAGGAAAACATGATTTTGTTTTAGAAAGTTGTCCTACTAAAACCAAACTAATATAAACACAAAAAATTTATATAAACTAAATAAATAAATTATAAACTGATTTATAATGCTTACCATACACATACGAACTAATTTTGAGATGAAAGGGAACTATAGAGTTAGTTACTCAAGACCATCATGCTAGGTCACCAATAGTTTGAAGGCCATAAAATTTGGACCTAAAAGAGAAGTATAAATATATCATAGCGTGATGGACATAAAACCATCTTATGTCTCAAAGTAGGCTTTAAATTAGTATTACATTTGAATTTTTGGTATTCGATTCAATTTATTGTTCCTTTTAACTCTTGTATCAAAAAAATTTCAACGAATTAACATATGGATTGGCTGAACTTTTGAGTATTTGCAGTACATATTTTTAGATGTGTTTAGTATTATTTACACAAAAAGATTTACAAGTTTAAAGTATGTCTTTTGTATATAAAAGCAGAGCTGGCTTTTGGGGGAACAGGGTGAGCAACTGCACAGGGCCCCCAATTAATTGGGGCCCCATATATAAATATTAAAATATTATATATATAATAATATAAATAAAAAATATAATAAATATATAGAAAGAGCCTTTTGTGTTTTGTCTATCCAGGAAAGGTTCTTTCCTACTTGAGAAGTGGAAGTTGTTATTAATAAAATATTAAAAATATATTATTCAATATTGTAATTAGGGGGGCCTAATTTTATTTTGAGGAAATTACGTGGTGTACCATTCATTGCCAACTTTATTACATTAACACACACATATAATTATTTGCAAAGGAACGAAAGAAATATATTTTATTTGCAACTATACGAGGAAATTAATGTACAAGTTAATTATATAATAAATTTGGTAACATCAGTTTTTAAGGAAGTTATTACAAGTGATTTATTGCTCTCATCTTCTCTGCAAATACTACCCAACGACGGAGAAGGTGGAGAAGAAAGCTCTATCCCAAAAACCCTACTTACTCACAATCTTGTATTTGTATTTTAATTTCTTTTAAGCCTCTTCTGTTGCATTTTTTTCTTCCTTTTCTTCTCCATAGTTTCTGGATTTAATTATCATTGTCCGGAGTAGTTCGATTAAATTAAAAATGGGTGAACTTCTTCACGACGATTTGGGAATTGTGTCCTCTTCTTATTTTGAGGAGAATCTGGGTATGAATGTTGAAATATGTTTAATGTATGGGGAGTGTCCCGTCGATGAGCGGTGGCATCGCGCGAATCCACCGGGGATGGATGGAAAGACGATGGAGAAATCAGGGATCGGCGGCGATGAGCGGAGATCCGGTTTTCTGCGCTAAGGTAATGGAGTTTTCTGTTTTAAGAACGGGAGTAGAAGATCGTTCCGGTTGGAGAGCGGGAAGGTGGTGGAGGGGCCGGAGGAGGAGGAGCCGCCGCGGAGGTGTTGCAGGAAAATCAAAGTTTTGGTTCGATTTTTTTAGGGTTTTTGGACTCTGTGTAATTAATCAGTACATTAAAATCCGCCGATTAATCTGTACATTGAAATTAGTTTATATCAATATATGTATAATATATGTACAGTATATACACAGTATATGTACACTCAACATATACTGAAAAACTACGGAGTGTAAACACAAGTAAATATACAGTATATGTAAAGTAAAATAAACAATATGTAAACTCAACATATACGCAACATAAACTAAAAAACTACGGAGTGTAAACACAAGTAAATATACAGTAAATATTATATAGCAACATATACAGTAAATATACAGTAAATATTATATGGCAAGTAAGGAAACAGAAAAGAACCAAACAATGGCTTCATGATGTCTACAATGAAATTTCAGAAATTAACATGAAGTCAGTAAACTTCAAATCTTGGTTTTGGTCATGTACATCCACCATTACCCAATATTACAACATCAAACATATGAAAAAGACATAAACTATCCAAAATAACCATCAGGCTCGCTTGACGACAACCACGCCATCAAACACTTTTAATATATGTTTCAAAATGCATATACTTGGGCGCCTTGTTCTATAGGACATTCAAAAGGGGAGACATATCTTCCATCAACCTGGGCGCCTCGTTCTTCAGGATTAGCTCATCATTCTTGGGTCCCTCCAGTGACCCGGACCTGAAGCTATCGAGTTTGATCGGAAAAAATAGAAGGAAGCGAAAGATTCAAAGTTTCCAAGAGCAAACGCGGTCTGCGTGCGAGCCACGCCATCAGGCTCGCTTGATGCCGGTGGAGGGGGGTGGAATATCTGGGGATGCTCCGTTCTTTTTCTTATTATAAATGTCTCCGGTTACGATAATTAAGGAACACAATCATTTTTATTTTGGTAACTGAATATTATGCATTTTGCTAATTATTTGCTTATGATTTGGTATTGATGCAATTTTTGTTGCTTCAATCGTATATGTGCAATTATTTTCAAATCACACAAGCAAGGGTGTAAATTACCCTTTTATTTTTCGCTCTGGGCCCAAAAAATGTTGGAGAGGGCCTGTATAAAAGTATGCATACTTGTTAAAAATAACTTTCCATTTTTTGAAATATTGATAGAGATGCAACTAAAAAAATCATTAACTCGTAGCCTAGAAAGAACTGGTGATGATAGCTTAACGGCAATGGCTGGAAAACTAAGTGTAGTGTATACCAATAATGATAGTTAACAGTAAGAGATAAGATAATAATAATAATAATAATAATAATAATAATAATAATAATAATAATAATAATAATAATAATAATAATAATAACTATTGATTCTTGGAGGAAATAAAACAAGTAAATAGAATATTTTCTGAAAAAATTCACCTGCTAAAAAAAAGTTTCTTGAAAAGAAAATTTTGGAAAATAGTTTGATACCCACAAGCTGACCTGCTGAGTTTGTACAATACTAAACTATAAATATGATTAATGATTATGGCAAAGAAACAGTAACATTTAATAGTAAAAGATCCACACAAACCTCAATTAAAAATTTCAGTCATGAACTATGATGGGTTTATGATTCATAACTACAGGGCACATCAAACCCCAAAACATTAAAATTGCTCGACTGGCTCCCGATTATAAACACAATATCCGGACTTATAAAAGCTTTCTTTTTTCCTACAGTATTATGCTACCTCGAACAAGATCCAATGCCATATTTAGACAAATCTGAATATGAATGTATGTTACTGAGAAATAATAATCCCCTTCCTCATTAGCATGTCATAAATTCTGTCGATTTTGTTAGGCTCGACCTGAAAGAAGGAATAAGCATCGGATTTTTTGGTGATATTTCCGGTCAGAAAATTTGTAGTCATATCCTCCTGAATTTTCAGATACTGTTGAGGGGCTAACTTCATCTCACGGCAAAGTTGTTTCTCCTGTTAGAAAAAAAGAATAAAACTCATGAAACAAATCCAAAACAATGTTTGTGGTTTATAAAAATTTTTACCCCGAGTAAAACTACTAAGAAATACTCGACTTTATATTTCTAGACGGCTTTTAAATATTCAAGTCTCACTTCGGAAAGTCAGGCGAAGATTTGCAACTAAATGCTCGACTTTTTAATGTTTTTTTTCGAGACAAATTTTGATCATGTTTGCAACTCTGCTACAANAAAATAAATTAAAGATTTTTACCATTGGTTCTCTTGGGTTTCATCTCTAGCCTACCCCAACTTGCTTGGGACTAAAAGGCTATGTTGTTGTAAATAAATTAAAGATTTGAAACTAGTGTTCACAATAATTGAAAAAAAAATAGTGCCGTAAGAATGACGAGTTATAGCAGTATTTGATTGAAAAATAAAAGCATATCAGTACAGAAACTCACGGTATATAAAGTTCTTACAGACTATCGGCTAAAACTACCGAGAAATTTAATTGAAGATGGTTAAAGATTGAGCAGGAAATATAAAGATATAAAATCTTTAAAGCAAACGTTGAAGGCTATTTGTTATAATAATAAATAAATAAATAAAAAGAAGAAAACAGTATGGTACATTTAGGGGCGTTTGTTAACAATTTTTTTCAATTCATACTCAAAGTCTAACTCAACTTTAACTCAACTCCACTATCCTCAATATTATCTATATAGTTAAATAATACCAATCAATCAATCCTTACACGTCACATAAACTTTAATTTACTATTCATCTACTAACATAATTTTAACTAACCATCATCACTTCACATCATCTCTCTCCTACTTTTACATCAAATCAACTTTAGTTATTTTATTTTAAATATTATTATAATATAAACTCAAAATCACACAACAACTAACCATACCACTTTTTTTGTTTTCAAATTAACTCTGGTTAACCAAAAAAATCCGTTTGGAGCAGATATATTTGTATCCAACACGCCCTTAAGTAATCCATGTCACTAATAACACGTGGAAAGGCAGCAGAAAACAGTTCCAGCACACTTACCGATTCAGACAGCAAATTGACCCCAGAAATCGACATGAAATCAGAATCGGTTGATGAGTTGGCTTGGCCTGCTGATGTCATGGTCGAATACGTGCCGAATGAATCCGAAGAAAGTGGCACGCTAAGACTTTCTTGGCTGCTGGGCCCCGCCTGAGAACTTTCCTTGCGATCAGTTTCCCGCCTTTTCCTCTCGTGATATCTGTCGGCTTCAGCTGATGTACGGCAACCAGCAGCTCGTGCTTCCTGTATAAATAAATAAATATAAACAAGCACATAAGATTTATGAAATCTNTTTAATGAACCATATGAACCTTAAAGGGTGTCTTTTGTATCACTACTGCTCACTCTTCAAAGAACAAACATCAAAAGGACATCTCACTAAATATAAATATGAATCAATCTTGTGAATAAACAAATTGAGATTCTCGACAGCTAGTGAGTAACAGTTGCAGTGCTTCATCATAGTTTTATTTTTTATTATTATTATTTTTTTTTCGCTCAATATAATTTCTTGGAATAAAACAACGTAAATGGAATTTTACCTTGAGCTCTCTAATTCGCTTGAGTGTCCTATGTTCAGACACAACGGTTTTAAGTAGTTCTTCATGCTCCTCCTTTGAGTGGAAACGCATGAAAACATCATAACGTCTGCATAATTCCTTCTCCTCCTGAGATAAGCCCTCATACTGATTTGGGTATTGCAACAAATTCCTTTCCAAAATAAAATCCTTCCTCCGTTTTCTCTCGTCCAACCTGTCAATACAAAATAAATGAACTTAAAGAGTATAAACATACATACAATAGATAATTCACATTTCATCAAAAAAATATAAAGGCTTTATGCTTGCTTAGTAATTATAGAATATCTCAATTATCTTCCGTAAAATAGCAAACTGAATTTTTTTATTTTTTTTTTCTTTGGTAGTTTTTCCAAAGTAGTTCATAACTTAAATATGAGAGATACATTAAGGGAGTGTATTCATTTGGGATTTCTAAAGATTTTGAGACTTCAGCAATCCAGACGTATTTAACTTATTATTTGAGACTACTAGAATTCGTTAAGACTTTAAGGTTTGTTGACCACATACCAAATCTCACTCCAAATCTCACCTCCAAACTTAAAGATTTCACTTCTTAAAAATCTTAAAAAGTCTCAAAATGTCACTCAAAATCCCAAATGAATACAACCCTAAATGGATTTCTCCTCCTCCATCCAGATTTTCTCTGAAATAAATTCACTTATAAAACAAAAGAGCTGAAATAATATGTACAAAATTTACCTCTTCGAATATATACGAAGCACTCTCAGTTTGAGCTGACGCTCGACTTCTGGCTCACCTTCCTTGAATTCCATGTCGGCAAGCAATTGCTCGGCATCATTATCGTACTCAGGATCAAATTCTTCTCTCTTAGCATTATAACCGCTTGCGTCTGTTGAAGACGGGGCATCGACTTTGGCGGCTTTCGGCTTGTTGCCACCAAAGCTTCGCCCAGATAAGTGGTCTGAAAATAATTTTTTCAAGATTAAAAAGGAGACATCAGTTAAATTAAAACATTTAGTTCCAAAATTTGGAATTATGGTCCGTCAATAATTTTTTCAAGATTAAAAAAAAAAGAGACATCAGTTAAATTAAAACGCTGGTTTCAAAATTTGGAATTATGGTCTGTCAATAATTTTTTTCAAGATTAAAAAGGAGACATCAGTTAAATTAAGACACTAGTTTCAAAATTTGTAATTATGGTCGGTCAATAATTTTTTCCAAGATTAAATAAAAAGGAGACATCAGTTAAATTAAAACATTAGTTTCAAATTTTGAAATTTGCGGGAAAAAGTGTAAGCAGGGAACACAAACCCTCCATTTTTAGAGGATCACTATTATCCTTGCCGTGGCCCGTGCTTGACCCCTTTTTATTCACTTTAGCTCCTGCAAGATTTGATTTTTCCATGAATAATTTGTAAATTTCTGAATAGGAAAAAGTGTTATGAAATTACAGCAGGTCGGTTTATGAGTTTTTCGCCGATAAAAATTCTAGTTACCTGTACTGGAAGGCAAGCGACTAGGTCCAGTTTTATACGAATCTTCAACCCTTGTGTGTGAGAGAGAGAGAAGAGAAACAAAGGTTTAGAAATATATATCTCTAATTAGGGATAATATTTATAAAGAAATTAAAGATAATAAAAAAAAAGTTAACCCCCAAGGTTTGGCCTTTAAGACCTAAGATAAAACCAACTTTTATCTTTTAAAATCATAAATAATTAAATATCCCTTTGAGATTGGTAATTACCTAACAAACAAACCCCCAATCTCAAAGATGCGCTTTTCAACACCAAATAAATAAAAAAAAATGTCAGAGGGTATTTGTAATTTTAAAAAGTCTCTGTTTTTCTTAATTGTTTTTATAAATGGGCTAAACTTCATGGATATCTTTTGTAATTAATTCAGAAGTTATTAGTTTATTACTATACTTGACTCTTGAAGGGGAAAATGGAGATTCCACTTTCATCTGACGATCCCCTGTCAAAAGAAAACATGTATAATCAAATTACTCAGCGCAATATTATTAACAAGCATCTCATATGCCGAAAAGCATATAGAAACCTCATAGCTTCTTTATAAAATGCAGAGCTACATAATTCAATGACAACACACCTATTTTATCTTCGACATGACCTTTAGCCATTGCAAGAAGTTCGTTTCTGTTTTTACCAACAACGTGCGTCATATCCTGAGACAAGAAATGCAGTTCATGAAGTTTTTTTCTTGAAACAGAATATAAAGTCACTAAAAAAAAGTTATTTATTTCTGTTGAGTTCATACAGGTAAAGGAAAGTAAGGTGAGTTAAGGTAAGCATTCCTATAATGTTCAATGCACGCATCCTTTGTCTTGGTACCGACATGCTCGGCAACTTCGGCCCAGTTTCCCATGCCATACATTTCAATTCCCTGCTCATGTGGTAAATAAATTTACAATTAAGGAAAAAACATAAAATCTTGAAAAAATACCCCCGAACTTCATTTTAAAATTCCCCTATCAGTCTGTTAAAATATTACAGTTAGCCCTTTAATTTAAACGTTGAATCGAAAACAAGTGTACATTTATATTCATTTGGAAGTTAACTAGGTTTTTGTGCAATTAGATCAAACCTCAATGGAACTTTTCTTTATTAATTTTTTTTCTATAAAATATATATATGGATTACCTCGAGAAGTAACATTTCTTCATCAGCATTCCATTCAGGACAAATGAGAGGAAATGAGAGAATGTCCTGAATACATCATAAACATGATTCAGACCACCAGCATTCAGTGCAATTAAACACCTTTACTATTTTAAGGAAAAAAAATAACAATTTTTTTGCCAGAAAAGAAACAGGAGGATGCAAGAAAAATGCAACAGATTTGACCAGTACGCATTTATACTAAATTATTACAATTTTTACAACAGAAATCCCAAACAGCTGGCCAGTGAAACTCCTATATATCCACTTTTTAAGAAAAAATAAATAAATAAATAAAAACAAGAAACCCAAAAGAAGGTGAAGCATATAATCAATAAATACATCTGAGAGAATAGTGGCTAAATTTAGATAGACAACTTCGGATAAATTACTCACCATAACCCGATATGGATGGCCATTTTTGTGAGGATGAACCTCACCACCTACTGAAAAACACTCCACGCATAAGTCAAAGTCAGAACATACAGCACATTTTATACGAATCCTCCCTGTAATGTCCTTGTTGCAATAGTTACAATGGTATAATGCACCTTTTCCATCACCAGTACCTTGTCCTGAAACAACCAAAAATTAAAGGTCCACACATAGCAAGACAAAGCGCGACTACTAATAAGCCAAAAATTACAAAGATGGCATAAAACATTAAGACACTGTTTAATTCAAGTCGGAAAACTATTGTATTCATCTATTTTAACACAAATTATATGCTGCAAAGTTATTTTATTGTAGCCACTAATGGTAATGCAACTTTTAACAGAAAACAGATTACCTGCTGTAACAGATTCTAAATTTTCTCCACTTGATGCATTCTTTTTTCTTCTTGATCTGAAAAAAGGCATTATGTTCCAAAGAAATTAAAGAAGTAACACAAGAAACAAGTTCTGACTAATTGCACTGAGGGAAAAAGAAAATTGCACAAAATAGATATGATTTAACCAACATCAATCAGTGCCTTATAGCAAGAAGCAAAAGAAATTAATCGCACGATATGATAGAATAAGAAGCAGAACTTCACGACATGCTAAAGATAAATCAATCTTGATGGTGCAAAATCTTGGAATCCAAAGTTCACACACCATGCACATACAGAGAGAGAAACTCCTTACAAATGAAAATCCAAACAGAAAACACACTCTGAAAATCAAACAAATAATAAAAATCCTATGCAAGCTCACATTACGCATGATGATCCATGGCAGGATCATACTAGCACAACAGTAACAGAGATAAATATATTCAGAAAAATAAGTGAAAAAAAAAAAAGTAAAAAGCGAAGCAATTTTATCCCACAACCCAAATTGCTTAATTTCCCCTTTTCCCAGACATGTACTTTGGATCTCTTCTGTTAACCAGCCACTGGCTTCAGCTAGCTAACTAAACTGAATATACAACAATAACAACACAAACCCATCAGGAAACAAGAGAGAAAAAAGATTCTACATTCTAATCACGAAAAAATTGAACCATTACTGATTGACCATTTGAAAATGCAGCTAGCATAAAACAACAAACACAATGTGCTACTTAATCTTGAGCTAAATGCAGGACGAATACGAAAAACGGCGCTCCAAAAAGGCAAAAAGACACAAGAAAACACAAACCTCTGGCTAGGATCTTCTTCGGCATGAAAATTTCCACGGGAGCGACCCATTGATCTACTAAACAGAGGATTTTCCTGTTAAAAATTACACAAATTTACACAATAGCTTCATCCCCTCAACTATTTACAATCCTCATGGTTCCAAAAAATGAAGAATTTGAGAAATTCGAGTGTCAAGTGTCTTGTACGCAGAAATGTTGTTCTCAAGAACCCTAATTGGGACAAAAAGAGGGCAATCGGAACGCGAATTTTGGACTTTCTAATTACGGTATATCTATTCTTCACTGATATTTTAGGGATGCAAACTGAAGGAAAGAAAAAAAAAAAAAATCAAATCGCCCAATAACTGATTTCATTTTCGTTGTTACTATTAATTATTATTATTTGGAATTCAATGGCTGCTTAATGAATTTATATCGTAAATTTAATTGGTAATAAGACTGTTGTTAGCTATACTGACAGATAATTAAACATATTTATACTTTTCCAGAAAATAAATATCATAAAATTCACATAAGAATGTTTATTAGTTCTTTTAGGCCACCAACAATTATCAAAACTAATGTTTTATCATATGGACAATGTAGGCTATTGATTGAGTAATGGGTAGAATAACTTATTGATTTATTCTATGTTGGGTAAACTTAAAATTTCATAAAAAGCAACGTAATTTGTAGTTAAATTATCTTAAGGCTCGTTTCTTTATTCAATATTTTTAGTTTGATTGTTGAGGGCCCATTTGTTTAAATTTAAATATAACTAAAAACTACATTAAATATCGAGTAATATTTTAAGAGATTATAAAATTTAAAACTTTTTTAATTTTTTTATTTAATTGGATTTCTTATAAATTTCATGTTTGAAAATGAGATTGAGTATTTGTATTTCGACTTCAAAATCTCAATAAATCTAAAAAAAAATATATTTTATGATTAAAATAAGTAATAAATAATTAAATATTTTATGATTTTTTAAAACTTCTTAAAATCTTAAACGAATATGTGAACTCCTAAAATTTTAAAAAATTTATAAAGATTCAAAATAAATACCCACCCTTAAATTATTGATAAGATTATTGGTGATTCCTAAAACCATAAGATTTACCTAATTTCTGAATCTTATGTACATTTATTTTTTTACATGAATTGTATACCTACTTTTAATACAAATTTAAATGAATTTTTCACGAGTTGCATTGCTTTGATTTGCAACGATTTGATTGTATTTTTTCCCCCCAAATAATAGCAATATTATAGCTCTTAGGCGATTATAAAGTCCATTATCAACTAACATCAATATATAACTGTAACAACCATACGACCTAATTGAACAAGTAAAATGGCAAACCCTACATCACTAAAACAAAAACTACAAAACGTAATTATCGAGAACTAACATAAACGCATTCACACAAGACATAATTCGAGCTCGATTATAATCTCGTTAAGTTAATGAGTTGAGTCCGTGAATGGAACACACAAGAATTGCGGAGGCCGGAAGACCACATTATTATTCACATATTTAGTTTCTTGTTTTGGGGTTTATCTTAGTAAAATGTTTGATAACATCAACCAAATCGAGGTAACCCTTCTACGGTTGATACCCTTTTCTCACAATTGCAATTATCTTGTTTAATAATTACTAGTAATTAGTATTTTGTGGCCCACCCAAATTAAAAACTTAAAGTCAAATTAGAAGTTTGACTCGACAAGACCTTTATTTTTATTGTTTGGTAAATAATAATTTCAAACAACGTTTTGGATTAAAGAAAAAGCTTTAGTAATTTTGAAATAACTAATTGCAATATTAATAATTTATATGTTAAATAACTAATTATTAACCATACGCTATTTGTTAATTTGACCAATCATCAAATATCTACTAATTTAGTGTTAAATATGACCATAATTGACTAACAAAAGACAATTGTGCTAGTTTTCATAAATATATCATAGTTGTTTAGAGCAACAAAAACATGGATATTTCATAAAATGTCTTATCGAATATAGGTATTTGATAGATCTTTTTATGTGAAAATAAAAACACAAGGCGTTGGGCCTGGCTTGGTGGGTCTAATGTCTGATGTATGCACACAAGTTTCTGAATTTCCACAAAAATGGCCAATTTTGTTTGGGTTGAATAATTTATTTCACTCTTTTGCTTTATATCTTACAACATGCTATAGTTCACATATACAAATAGTATATTTGTCAAATGAAATTAAAGTCTTCTTAGTTTAATATTCATCTTAGAAATATTAACATATATTCTTTAATTACATTGTGCTCAAATTTAAATATAGTTAATAGCCTAACGTGTGATGTGCACTTATGATAAACAATAACAAACATTTAATTAAGAAGCAACACAAACTCTATAATAATAGAGATTAATATTGAATTAAAAACTTCAAATTTTGGGAAAACTCACTCAACATCATGCTTAAGATAATGAAGATTAACAAAAAAGAAAATGAACATTCTCAATAAAAATGATAAAAACATGGATAGCCATAGTATGGAAAACACTTGTAGTGCCAATCTTCTTGATCAAATGTCCAAAGTATGCACCAAATCTTTGGACACATATTCTTATTTATATTCCACCAAAACACACAACCAAAAGAAAACATCCATTCTCTTTATTACACTTCCAAATGAACCATATCTTTCACATACATGGAGACAAATTTAACCTAGCACCCGATTTTCACAACCTTCCGACGAACTTCGATTTGTTTTCTCCGTACAGACGAAAGAGGCCGAATGCCGAAATAGCCGATAATACGACCATCGAGAGGCTCATGAGGAGCCCAGTCGCTATGCCTTCCCCGATTTGATTGCAGAATTTGCCGTACATATCACATATCTTCATCCATTGCAGCTCGTTCTGGCCGAACTTGGCCAAGACAGCTGATTGGGCCGCGGCCCCCACTGCAGCCAGGGTCAAGTAGGCCATCACCTGAGATGGGCCGAGCCCAACACAAAATGCATGAAATTGAGTTTTTTTTTTTTATGAATTAATAAATGTCACAATATATACTCATTTCTTTTTTATCATTTTAATAAAAAAATTAAAGTATTAAACAATGGATTAGTGGAATTGCATACCTGATCACCTGAGAAAATGGCCCAAGCCAAGGGCTTATTGAAGAGCACACTTCCTCTCATCATATTCATAACACACCTCAAGACTTGGGCCAGTGAATAGGCGGCAACTAACCCATTGGATATTACCAAGAAACTGCATTTTTTTGTTTTCAAATACAAATAAATAAATAAATTAGAATTTTGTTGACCTAACTATTGAGAAAAGGTATCTATTTTGGGGGCATAATCAAATGTTTCATTTAATCGTTCCTGATTCTAAATTTTCTAACCAGAATCCAGCATAACAATAGGAGTCCTTTTCAGAACTCTAATTTTATTTTCACAAATTTATAAAAATTGCTAGGAGCTTGGATGTGACTCAATGAATTATAATAATTTTAAAATATTATTAATGCAATCGATAATTTATTAAAAAAAAGACAAAGTTATCCTTAACATCATGATCCTTTTTAAAATTACAATTTGATCACAACATTTTCACTTTTACAAATTATATCACAATCTTCAGTTTGTTTGTAGAACCCATGCAAACTACATCACAATATTTAACTTTTTTTTGCCACATCAGCTATTTTGGTGCTGGTTTTAGAACTCGTGCACAGATTTACAACAAAATGAAGATCGTGATATAATTTGTAAAAGTAAAAATATCATAATTAAATTGCAATTTTCAAAAAGATCTTTATATTAGGAGTAATTGACTGGTCGACTTGCCTAACGATTCTGCATTACTTTCACAAGATTTCATAATTCACCAAATATGAAAGCTCATCATATATGCTACTTTACATATAACCAACAATCATTAAAGACAAATCAATAATAATAATAAAAAAAAAGGGCATAATCAAGGACTTACACAAGGGCTTTCATGTCTGTAAACATGGCCTTTTTCTGAATAGTGAAAATTTCCTTAACCTGAGTATCAGTGGCAATTAACACAGCACAAAGAATGGCTAAAACACAAATAACACATCTCAACACCAATTCTGCTACCCTCACTCTCCTGTCCACAACCTTTAAGCTGCTCCCGTGGTACACCGGAACATTACCTGGACTCACACCCACACCAATATAACTCATCNATGTTTTTTGGGACAGTAGAAAAAATGTGTAAGAAATGTTAGTAAGGGAGACAGCTTGAATACACTTTAATATCAGAAAGCTAATGAACAAGTCCTAGGAAGGGTGTATACGTTTACGTTGTGCCATTAATATAGACAAAAAAAAACATTTATATTTTTTATTTCATTTTTTTTAATGGTACAAAATATTTAGGGTGGGACTGGACATAATTTTTTTGGACGTGATTTGGATTTATTAAGTAAAGTGAATTAAAATAGAAACAAATGTCATTGCGTGGAGTTTTGGATTGGATTGTGAGTTTGTGCTTGGAGATGAGTTTAAATATAATGATTAAGATTAGTGTTACACAAAAATATGAGAAATGTGATTAGGTTTGATTGATTGTTAGTTAAAAATATATGAACTCATAAATAAAAATTGAATTTAAAATTGGCTGATAGATTTGATTGGTTAAAAATCGTACTGTTAATGCTCCATAGTTAATTGAAAACAATAGTCTTCTAGCCAGATATTATTTTATTTGTTACTTAAGTCTGTATCGTGTCGTTTCGGTTTTTTGTCTTGTTTTAGTATGATTCTTGATTCATTTTCTTCCTTTAATTTGTTTATAAATAAAATAATATGTTCATTTACAGTTCATGTTATGTATATAGGTGCCAAATTTGACGCAGGTAAAGATTGGCACCAGAAGCTTTTTGTCACGCATTAATGGAGGAATTGAATGTTGACCTAATCACACACTGAATAATTACTAATTTGTCAGACCTTAGAAACATCATTTAATGAGGAAGGCCTTAAAGATTTTTGGACAGTCTTCTTCTGGGAAGGGGCAACGGTTTGTTGTCCCAAGAAATTATAAGAAAAAGAGAGATATGGAGAGACTGGTCTTGCTTGACACAGCTCATTCAGTTTTATTACTCCTTTGATTTTCAAATTTATTTTGTTATTTCATTTTAAAGAAATATATTGAATTATTTATATTTGATGTTTATGAATCTTATTGTACATGATATATTTATTGGCATGCGTATTAGTTGGCACAATGTAATTTTTTTTGGAAATTCAATGAGAGACTAATATAATTTTATGAATATGGTAGGTGTATTTGATGTATATAGAAGGTTGGCTCCACTATGGAGCCAACTGTTGGCTCCATAGCAAAACCACAATGCGCGAGAATATATAAGTGCGAACAGATGTAAGAGTTTTTGGAATATTAATTTTGTATTGTCCTAAAAGAGAAAGATGAAAAGGTGAAATAATATTGTTTTTATAAAAAACGATAAATTTGTGATTGTGAATGAATTATATGAGATAATGATTAAAACACATACTTATATAAAAATATTAAAATATCAATTAATAAGAATGGTAATAATAAATATATATTTATGTGAAGATGAATATGTTTTGTTAAAAAATATTTAATAGTATTATTTTTTAATTTATAATTGTAGTGTTGGTGAGATTGTAGATTAAAATGAGACTAAATGAATAATATTTTAATAAGTAGAGTAATCTTGAATGCATGCTAGGAGTATTTTGGTAATACATTACGTTATGTCATATATACTAATAAATGATTTAATGTAATAAAAAGTTTGTAAAAAAAAAAAATGAAGATACATGAAACCAAATAATGTGAGTAGTAAGTAGTGTTTATTCATCATTCATTAATTCCATTTATTAATAATGAAGTCGTGTATGGAGGCTTCTGAGTACTCCCATTCCTGCATGGAAAAAAGATATGAATATTGCTACAATGTTATCAAGATTAGGATTCATATATGAACACAATCCATGTTATGGGCTCTAATAATATTTATGTATATAACAATAAATATTTTGTTTATAAGTAGAGCTCATTTTATTTTAGATATTCTCCAAGGGGAGAAAAACTTGGCATGAAAGATGTAGCTTGATAGTTGTTCGAGTTTCTCGGGTATGTGTGGGGCAGAATCGGTCAACAAGCCTGAGAAAAGATAGATTGACCTAAAATGTAAATTTGATTACAGTGGAATTACTTTCAGTTGTTCAATAAAATCTTTTGTATTCACAGGTTTCATCGTTCCCACCACTCCGTACTTAATGGTTAGGCCAGAATTATACAACGGAGCTCATAATCCAATTTATTCTTGAGTCAACCTTCTTAGTCTTTATTGGCTCGAAGCTCTTGATTTTTTTCTGCTATTACGTGGATTCATTTACTATATTCATTATGGATGAATCAATTAATATTGATGCTTTATTACACTGTCTTTTAACAGATGACTCATAGACCTTACATATTGGAATTCTATATCATTAATATTTTTTTCTATCTTTCTCTCATCCTTCCATTTATCCACACCCTATTCGGTTCTGTATTTTGCTTTAAACTTCGAATGAAAGTAAATTCAAAACAATTTCAGTCGTTACAAGGAATTACTTTCAGTTTTGAATTTGATTTTCCAAAAAGAGAAAATAGTATCATCACCTTCTCTAGCGAAGCAATAGAGGCAACTTATTTGGATGCAAAAACTTTAGTTCAACTATTTTCTTTAGACCTGACATTGAGTATGGTAAAACATATATAGTTGAACAATGGATATAACTAGTAACTAGACATGACTTTTACAATGAACACGGTCGGACATGTGTTTAAATTAATTTAATTGTGTTATTTCATCGTCTATCATGTGTTTTCAAAGTTCCTAATTGGAAAATGTTCAGAGAAAAAACTGTCTAGATGGCCAACAAAAAAAAAAAACATTATAAGAAAACATGTGAGGCCTTTGTGAGCTTGCCACGTGGCAGCTTTTGGTGGTGTGAGTTTGTCTCTATGCCCTCCACGTGGCAGTTGTATTCTTCTCTTTGTGCCCTCTAAACGACGTAGCTTTGATCAGGGACTAGAATACCCATGGTTTTCAAAATCGGACCGGATCGGCCGGTTCAACCGGTTGGACCGAGAACCGGTCTTCATTCAAGTCCGGTTTCAAGCATGAAACTGGCAGGACCAAGAACCGTTCCAAAGCCATTTGACCGGCCCAAAACCGGTTGAATCGGTGAACCGGGAACGGTTTGAACGACTCAACGGTTCTAGCTTTAGAACTTATAAGCAATGTTTTAAATACCGTACCGTACCGGCCGGTATTACCGGTAATACCGGATACCGGTGGTCCGACCGGTATGATTACACTCTAAATACCGTTTTGGCCAAAATACCGGTTTTATAACGAAAAATATCGGTTTTACCGGCCAAATACCGGTTTATGCCAATTTCTTGTTTAAAAATATTTTTTATTATATTTTTATTAATTTATTTATATAAATTGAAAGTTCTACACATAATTTTTCAATATGTTTACATAGTTATTAGATATTAATTAATTTTAGTATTAGTTAAAGTTAATTTTGTACATCATTTATATTATAATAATAAATTAATTTATTATTTATTAAAACCGGTAAAATAGACGATAATACCGGTTGAACTGGTTGAACCGCGTACCGTTGGCTCGTCCGGTATGCTTACCGATACGATATTTAAAACACTGCTTATAAGGAGTTGATGTGAACTTATTTAAATAGCACATTATTTTTACTTGTGTTTCCAATATGTTGACAAACAAAGGTCATTGTTGAATTATTGGGCCAACATTGGGCCATACAACAAAATTGTAATCGTTAAAGAAAAAATGTAGTATTTTTGTATTGGGCTATATTTATTCTCAATTTATTAAAAAAGAAATAAACAATCTATTGTTATTTGTTATGCACATAGTTTTTATACTTTTTATTTTTTCATCAATAATAAAAAACTTAAAATATATTTAAAAAATAAAAAATAGAGTTGCTTCTATTCTCTGTAACTTAAATATAGATTACAATTTCAAACATAAAAATAAAATAAAAAAAAATAATTAACAATATTATTCAACATTGTCGTTTATATCAATTATTTAACTTTTATTTAGTGAAATGTCATATACTATAAAATTAATGATAAATATATATATATATATATATATATATATAATATAATACATATAAAATAAATAAAAAAATATATTTATTAAATTGGTTCGACCAGTAAACCATTGAACCGGTAACTTCACTGGTTAGTTCGAAAACATGAGAATACAATTGTTTGAAAATGCTTTTTTGGGGTCAATGCGTAATTTCACGTAACGGGGACAGAATCCCAAAAATCTTTTGCTTTCGGCGACAAAACCACTTCGTCAGAAAAAAGGACAAATCAATATGTGAATATAGAGATACGATAAGAAAGGCTAGCTAATCGTAAATTCGCTCCTTCGCAAGCACTAGGGTTCGCCGCCGATACTTTCCAAATGAGCGAATCCCTGTGAGACCCTGTGATGAGCTTGGGCGGTAGGAGCGATTCCCTGGCCTTCCCGAACGGCGAGAACGCCGGCGGCGTTTTGTCTTCACCTCAGCCACACCCTTTCCACAAGAGGAGTTTTTAGGTCAACGACGCCGCATTTCTGTCAGGACTCGATGAGAGGAATTTGTGGAGCCCTTATACGGATGGTTTCTGCAAGGACGGTGGCGGCTGTAAGTTTGGTCTCCCAGGAGCCGTTCGGGTCTCGCCTCGGTCCAACAAAAGGGACCAACGCAGAGACAACTCTAAATGATGATGACATAGCTACCGCAACTGGCTGGTACAATTTCATTGTACTCCTCTGCTCGTTTCTCCACGTTTTTCCTTTTATTTTTTGTAACACATTCTATTTCGTGCTTGGTTATTCCATAGGCATTTGGGTTGGTGAAGCAAAAAGCAAACAATGTAACCGGAAAGAGAATAGCATTGTTCTTGTATTATGATGGGACCTTTTTATTTTTTTATTATTATTTCAGTTTGATTAGTTTGTGAAACTCTATGACTTGTTTTCATATGCGTCCTGCTGTCAGGAATACGACAAAGTATTTTCGCAATGCTATAATTAGTGGAAGAAGTCGTGATAATGTGATTTGGTGGCTTTTGATTCATGTTATGATTTTGTGCTGATTTATGAGTACGATATAGTTGGAATGAATTTGATTAGTTTTATTCGCATAGTTTATTTTGGTTTATGTGTTTGTAGTCTAACTGAACTTTTTTATGCTGGTAGTCACAGAATGGACATCACGTTGGAGGATTTGCTGCCCGGAAACTACCTCGGGTTGGAGGATAAAATAGTTCTTCTTTGGCTGTCGAAACGACGCCGTGTTGGCGGATTCGTTGTCCAAAACATCTGGTGCGACGTGCGTGCAATTTGGTTGCCCCGTCTTCGTCAATGATGTGATTTCCGTGAATTGTGGTGCGCTCTACTTAACCTGTGATTGTGGGTTTGTACGGTAGGAGGCTAACTATTTGTTTTTTTTATGTTGATGGATAGGCGGACTTCACTCCCATTTTTTTTAAACAACAATACTTATTTTGAACAGACCCTTGGTTGTCCTAATAGCATGTATATTTTTAAGTATTATGATTTAACAAATGAAGGTTTTTGACCAGTTATGTTTGTTTCAGGTCATATATAAAAGAGAAGTACAGTTCTCAGCCTTGGTTCCTCGAAAAGATTTCACCTGAAAGCATAGAACTGAAGGATTTCCTGAAACTGTCAGTGGCAAGTCCTTTAGAGAGGTTATTGGTAATTTTTGTGGCTTTATCAGGACTTCAATGATGGGAGTTGTGATATAAAATATGTGAGGAATTATGTGCTAAGTCCATCTTCTTATTTCTTTAATGAATTAATCTGTAGAATACTTGGATTATTACAGGATGTGAAGTCCAATGAATGTCCTTCAAATCCGTTTGATACACAGACTCTCTAACGCTTCAGCTAAAGGACAGAGGTCTGATGAGAGCAATGGATGCTATAAGAAGAGAAATGTAGGCACATCCTTTTTTTCCTTTTTCTTTCATTCCTTTTTCTTTTTCTGTTGCATGCAGCAAGTACTTTTCCTAGGATCATATCCCTGATGCATAAAATCCCCTGTCCTGAGTGAAAATCTTTCGAGTCATTTAAAATAATAATCAAAATAACAGTGTTGACATATAGAAATAGTTGTTCTTCATTGGTCTTCAATCCTGCATATTTTGTGTTCCCGTGTATATTGGTGAATGGGACAGATGACATTACCTCCGTCAAAAGCTGCGAGGGATTTTGAGGCCAAGATGAAGCTGCCTGAGTTTCCGGAGGTTGTGTGGCTGGTCAGGGATGTTATGGCTGGTGTGTGGGGCAGGATATCAAACATTTTCCTTGGTGGGTGACTTGTGTCGGGGGTCTACTTGTGTAAGGTATCTATGCGTGTGCATGAGAATTTTGATGTTCTATAAAATTTGCGTGAATATGTCTGAAATTTTGCATAAATCGGTTGAAAAAATCGGTCAGGCCTAGGCGCGGGCTTGGCGGCTAGGCGCCTAGGTCCACCTAGGCGGGCTCGGCGGAAATTTTTCAATTTTTTTAAATTTTTTTAATTATATTATTTTGTTATCACGTTTTCTTTATAATATACTAATTTTATTATTTGGACTTAGTTGTGTTGATTTATTATAAGTTGAGATATTTTTATTTTGTAAGTAGTGAAAATAAATAAAAAATAAGATATTTAATCATGATTTCTAGGCCCCGCCTAGGCGCTAGGTGCTGGTCGAGCGCCTAGCGGGCGACTAGCGACTTCTAGAACACTGACGGAAACTAAATGTGGATCCCATAAGAAACCAGCTGTACCTTTATGCCCAACCTACAAGCACCTAACATACTAATGAGCCCTTTCAGATCCCAAATGCAAGCTCCTTCAAGAGACTACTCTTCATGCATGACGGTGCACACGACTATGTCCTGGCTTTATCTTACTGCTATCGTGGAGGGATTGTCGGGTTTATGATCACTCGGGACTTGAATGATTACGTATGTTGCAACCAGCTGGACCTGTTCACGTTCGAACGGTCAAGATTACAAGTACTAGCCCTCGTACATGAAAAGTCCTATATCGAAAGTAAACAAGACGGATCCTTTATATGCACCCAGTTTTCCTGGTTCAAAGTAATGGTATAATTGTAACGCTTTTTCTTGCTTTGCTTTTTAGGGGATCTTTAAAGTTTCGTCTATGATTGGAAATGAACTTTCCTGTAATGCCTTGCCTTTTTATTGTTATTGCTTGAAATGTAGCTTTCTATTGGACAAAATTCAGTGTGATAGTCTACCATTTTGTGTTCTTTTCAATGAGTATCCCGTCTTGACAGATGAGGATTTGAGCATCAAGAAGTTTAATTACATTACAGATCATGTACCGATTAAATGTTGTTTATTGTAACTGAACCTTCAACATGCTATATCAAGTTGTTGGTAATTATGAGTATAATTATTCATGCATCTTGACTAGTGCCCCTTCTCTTAAGCCCACTCCGTGATTGAACAGATTTTTCATGCATTTCAAAGACATTGTGCCAATGGCAGTAGGTCTATGTCTATTTGTGTTTCCCTGTGTTGTGAATATGGTTAATTCTATCATGTTTGGAAGAAAATTGGATTTGATTCTAATGTCCATCTTTGGGAGATATGATGTATGAACGAGTTTACATGTGCTAAATTGGATTTCCCTGTGTAAGTTTACATGTGGTAATGTGATTCTATAATACATTTTATATTTTTGCCAATCATGGGTACAGTGTTCATTTTCATATATACACACACATATATATAATAATGTATTATGTACTAAAAAAAAATTGAAAAAGCAAAGTTTTATAATAAAACATAAATTAAATTTTTTTTTTAATGTAAGAGAAAATACCAATTAATTAAATGACCGAATAAAAACTAAATTATAGTCGGCTGTGCGGTGCACAGCCAGATGCATCTAGTATATAGACACAGTTCACTCTCATCTTCACTCCCACACCCACTCTTTATCTCTCAACTTCCTTTGTCACTAACTTTTTCTGTTTTGCAGCTGCTTTTCTCCTCCTCCTGCATAAAAAGACATGAATTGGAAAACGGGCTTCCAACTCGCATTCATCTGTGTCGCCGTGGCTATCGTCGGCGGCCACTCTCCGTCAGCCGCACCAGCCGGTCGGAGCACCCGGACCAAGCCCCGACTCCATTCCTCCTGGTCCGGCGTCGGCCGATTATGTGGTAAGAAGCTTCTTAAAACCTTTGATGTCACTAATGTGCGCCGCGTTGGTGCTAATACGCACTTCCAGATCTGAAACCATGGGACACTTTTTCCCTTTTTCTTGTTTGTGCTTTTCCGGTTTTTACGCATCTGGGATTATCGTAGTTTTAATTGATTTAGATCTAGCTTTAATCGTACTTTCACAGGCCATTTAAGGTAATTCGATACACGTGTACTGTATGTGTGATAAATATATTAATATTTATACAATAAAAATAATAATTTATATTTTTATTATAAAATTATGTATTATGAATATATAACAATTGTAAATAACTGGTAATTATTTCAAAACTTTCAGATCTTGACCAGTTGAGAGATGCCAACATTTGGAAAATCTTTGCACGCCTCATTGACTGCCCAAACACCAGCGGCTTTTCGATTCAGGTGATGGGCTGCTAGTCCTCATTTGGACCACGTATTATGTTAGTTTAATAAGTGCATTTTGAATATGTTTTCTGATATTGTATTGTCATTGAAATATATAAGAAACGTCCGAAACTACACATTACCTCATATTCAGGACATAGCTTTCTCATTATTTCCTGCCATTTCTGATATACATGCATGCATAAAATACGGGTAGAATTTTACTGTTACTATTTGTAAATCTGCTTGTTGTGCTTTGGAAAAGTATTAGATGGTTTATTTGGAGGTAATAAAGAGTGTCTTGATGGTGTTTTGACTTCAACCTTTAAGGCGCTTCGACTCGAGGGTTGAAAGAAAAGGGGAAAAAAAATAAACCCTTCAACTACCAAATATAAAGGGAGATTAGAAAAACAAAGGGAAGAATATTGAATTTGATTACACAGATATATAGTCATATACACAGAGCAAATGGGAATAAAAGAAGAGGGAACACTTGCAGAAGGATGGAGGAAGGAAAACCCAAATATATAATAATATATATCAAGTAATAAAACAAAAAAAATTAAAAACTCTGAAGGAGAGCCCTGTTGAGGAGTATCTGTACGTGCTTCTCCATGGATGGATCATTTGGAGCTCCGGATTAGTTTTTTTTTATTCCAGATCTGAAGAGATAGTATAGATGAGAGATGAATGGCCATGGATTTGCAGAGCAGATTTTTTTTTTTCCAACTCATCTTGAACTGGAACTGCTCCTCCATCACAGTTCGGATGTACATAATAAAAAATGTCAATTCATTTTGATATGATTGATATTTCCACTTCGCACAAGTTACCTATCTTCAGAAATTACACATTTGCCCAAAAATTGTTGACTAGAATTCTATTTTTGGATGCATTTTGAGATCAGAATGATAGAATGAGTGAGAGAATGAGGGTACTTGTTGAGTTTGGAAAAAATTGCCAGTATCTTATCATCTATCATGTCACGGAAGTATGACTTCTTGTAGTTGCCATTTTACGAAAGAATTATGTGCAAATATGTATCTCCAACTTACATTGGTTGCTTGATTATAATTCATTGTACCTCTGTATGGTTTGCTAATTAGGAGAGTGAAGGGCATGGCTGGCGGATGAGGGCATCTTGTCCCACTATTAATCACTTGAACTCGAACCTGCTAAAATTGTAAGTCTTGAAAATTATTCCGCCTAGTTGCAATAGGTTTTCCTTTCATCCTTTGCTGCATTACAATGTCTAATTGTGTGTGGTACTAGTCCAATCTATCCCATAAGCTTAGTGCGGGCGTTCCTCTCTTTCAGGCGCACTAAACTAAAGAAGGGTAATGTAGATATTTTATCTTCTAAGGATATTTTGGGTGTTTAATATATTTCTTTTACTTTTATTTAATAGAAGGTTATTTGTGGAGAGTTGTGTTGGAAGCCATGCACAATTTACTAGGGCTGGAATTGGTTCGGTAACCCAACCGATAACAAAAAACCGAAACCGAACCGATAGTGTTTGGTTTCACTAGTATTCAAACCGAAACTGAACCGATAAGAAGTCGGTAACCGATTTTCGGTTACCGGTAAAACGGTTCGGTTTCGGTTTAAACCGAAAAAAACCGGAAAAAAAAATGGTTCAAGATTCTTGTTGCTGTTCACAATTTCACATACAGAGACCAAAACAGTGAAAAATCACAATACAACACACCACACCAACAACTTAAAAATCCCAAATTCACAACAACAGGAAGCTTAAAAATCCAAAGTTCACAACAACAAGCTTAAATAACAATAGTTCCAGCTTTCAAATACAATCACAACTCAACACAACATATCCAAATCACAACACAATTAACAACTTCTGCACACAAAAAAGAACCAATTGTTAATGAAGCATAAAATACCAGCCCTAAATCGCAACTCCACCGAGTGAGAGAAGCGACACCGATGAGTGGAAGAAGCGGACGGGCAATTGCGAGTGCGACTCAAGTGAGAAGGTGAGGTGGAGAACTCGCGTCGAGGCCGATTCTGAATTTCTGATTTCTGATTTCTGACGAAAGTGAGGTGAAAGAGCGAAGAGTATCATCCCAGGAAATGGAATTTGTGTGCAAATTTGAAAGACTCCCAACCCTATTCTACTTTCTGCCCCCTTGATTCTTATTCGTCCATCCCATTTTCCTTTCTTTTAAACTATAAGACATTAGTTATCAATTGACCTGATTTGTTTATTTAACTAACACAACCTGTATTAATGTCTAATCTGTCACTATTATCTAAAATCTGTATTTTTTTTAATATCTTATCGGTTCAGTTCGGTTTTAACGAACCCTTATGGGTTCGGAACTGATACCGAACCGATGACAATTCGGTTACCGACTATCGGTTACCGTTATAAATAAGTCGGTTCGGTTCGGTTCGGTTTTCGGTGTTCGGTAAAAAAAATTCCAGCCCTACAATTTATGCCTTTCACATTGGTCACCTTATAAATAAAATAATAAGCTTTCACTCTTTCTTCCTAAAGTAGTTCCTTATTTATTTCTATGAGGGAGTATCAGGGAGGGAGGGAGAGCCATGCACAGTTTATGCCTTTCACAGTTTATGCCTTTCACAGTGGTCTCCCTATAAATAATAACCTTTCACTCTTTCTTCCTAAAGTAGTTTCTTATTCTATCAGGGGAGCGAGTATCAGAGAGTGAGCATGAGCAAGCAAGCAGTATTTCTTACGTATTTCTATAAGTAGTTTTTTATTTATTTCTATTAGGGAAAGTAAAAGCATGGCCACCTGGCGCCTCATACCATTCTCCCTCCATTTCTCTAGGCTTATTCGTAAGGGTCTCGTCGGCCTCTCACCTTTTTCCAGAGTTTCGACGTCGGTAGTCTTCTTCGTCATAACTATATTTTTTTTCTATTTGATGTTGGTTAAAGCCCATCGGACACGCTATGCATAATTTTGTCGTATAGCTTTCTTCCTTTAGTGCTGTTGATTCTTATATAATGTATTTCATCCGTTCAATATCTTATATTCGTCCGCAAAATTATGCTAAGTTATTAAATATTATACTTTTCTTGTCATCAATGTGAGTAGAACGATTGTGATAATATATATTTTGGAGGTCTGGTATTCTTTAGTGATTTGGCATCTAATATAAACCTTGCTCAAGCACATATTTTTAGTGTTTTATAATTCATATACATGCATATGCAAGTATGGTTTACAAATATTTTCGTCATTATTTCTACTTTCGACTTTCAAAGTATAAATGATCGAGTCACTGCCATTATTTTAGCGTGCACGGTTGGTTGATGATAGAGTGAAGGGCGGATTGCTAGAAGAATCCAAATCTAAAATTGAGAATTAATTGAAAACGAAAGAAACATTAACGCCCATAAGAAAAATTCTTGCCTAAGCCAAAGTCTTCTCTATTCTTTTTTGCCTCGTTAAGAGACCTATACTCTTGTACTTAAATAAAATAAATTAGGGTTCCTAAGCAAAAGCTCATCTCATCACCTTATTCCAACCCTAATTAAATAACTTAACTAAAATATGGAAACTTAAACTCTTTAATATAGATATGTCCCAGTTGATGCCAACTTTGTCTTGTGGACTTGTTTGATACTGTGAGTACAAAAGAATCAAATAAAGAAATTCCAATTGGGTGTGGCAATATGTAATGTGTAAAGCATGTTTGGTTTTTATGGACAAAATTTTGACATAGGTAAAATTTGAAGTAAGTTTCACTTTGGTAACTGCAATTCTCGCATACATCCCCTTAAAAGGGCAGTGGTAATTGGTTACAATATGCCAACTAGTGGAAATGTTGTCGCTATCACGTGTGTTGGAATATTTTCTTGCCTCTCGTTAGATATGTTTCCAAGAATGATTGTTCCGTTGGCTGCATAAATCCATATGCCCTTTGTTATTTCTTTCCCCAATATTTATTAAGATTTCTTTTCTTTCTAATCTATATGAGACATGATGGTATATGTAAGTTTTCTTTCCCCAATATTTATTAAGATTTCTTTTCTTTCTAATCTATCACGCTTGATTGTATCATCCTCGAAAATGAATATTCGGTTGGCTGCACCAACGCAGAGATACACCGGAAATCTCCCAAAGTTCACCAGTTTGGTGGTGATAAAACCAATATAGAGGATCTGGCGTCGTCTTCCACTGGCCAATTCATGCCTGCCAGATACTCCTATATGTGTGGTATCAATGACGTACAAAAATGCATATGTGGACAGGAAATTGCTTGAGAATTTGTATGGGGTCTCGACACATCCACCTGATTTCTACGTTTCCACTAACGGATCAGGCCCAGCAGAAGTATCTTGGGTCTGAATATTGAAAACCTTTGTCAAATAGGACGATAAAGGAACATGGCCTAAAATCAAGGTTGGTAACCAAGTGTGTTTTATGTTTTAAAATCTCATTTGACAATTTTTTCTTAATACATTTCCTAACTTTTTCATATTTTTAATTGCATTTTTTAGATCTTTCTTCCTGTCATGAAAGAAGAGAATATTGTTATGTTGGCAGAGGTTTTTTCCAATCTGGGGCAAAATAAATTTGAATCTGATCTCATTACTGATGATGCTAATATCGTATATACCCCTCGGTATTTGATTTTCTTGAACTTGAAGTTCCTTGTCCATGACCAAATTTTGTAGCTTTCGATCATGACATATTTTGTGTGAGCGATTCGTTTCTATCAATACTTGGCTCCTGGTACAACACTTGATTTCTTATTTTTTCCAAATTTTCAATCCTGCCTTTTATTTTATTACCTAAATTTATGCATATATGAATTCTAATTTCAGATTATAAATTTTCAGTCCTTAGTGTTGATTTATTATATGCGGACTAGTTGAAGCGTGTTCTAATCCGTAGAGCCAAGACTCAAGTCATCAAGGTAGGCGGCGTTTATGCTTTGGTAGAAACCAGTTCCATCTTCGACGGAAAGAAGTTTCTGACACCGTCTGACAAGGCGCAACAAGTTGAAATTCTGATGGCTAGTGGTGGTGAGTAGTTGAGAAGTCCACTAAATGGTTATTTCTTCATTCTTTTATTGTCTATTTATCATTATATTGTTTTTTCCTTTGGTTTACTTGATTCTACTGGTTTATCATGCTTCTAATTTTTATTCATGTTTTTGAAATATTGTTGGCAGCTGAAAACATGAATAAAAATTAGGAGCATGAGATACCAGTCGAATCAAGAAACCAAAGAGAAAAATAATATAATAATAAATATAAATAAACAATAAAAGTATGCAAAAATAACCATTTACCGGATTTCCAAACTGCTCCTTACCACTAGCCATCAGAATTTCAACTTGTTGCGGCTTGTCAGACGGCATCGGAACCTTCTTCCGTCGAAGATGGAATTGGTTTCCACCAAGGCATAAACGTCGCCCACCTTGATGACTTGCATTTTGCCCATGCGGCTTGGAACACGCTTCAACTGGTCATAAGAAAGTTCTCTTCCCAAAATATCCACAGATAATAACTCAGCCTTAAGGACTGAAAATTTATAATCCGAAATGGAATTCATATATGCATAAATATGGGGATAAAATAAAAGGCAGAATTGAAAATTTGGAAAAAAATAAGAAGCTAAATGTTGTACCAAGAGACATGTATTACAGAAGAAATTGCTGACAAAAAATATGACCTGATCGATAGCTTCAAATTTTGGCCATGGACACAAACTTCTAGTTCAAAAAAATCAAATATCGAAGGGTAGGTACAGTATTACCATCATCGGTCATAAGAGCGGATTCTAATTTAATTTTCCCCAGATTGGGAAAAGCCTCTACCAACATAACAATATTTTCTTCTTCCATGACAGGAAGAAAGACCTATAAAATGTAATTAATAAAAAAGTTAAGAAATGTATTAAGAAGAGAATGTTGTCAATTGAGATTTTAAAATATAAAACACATCTGGTCGAAATCTGTCTGAATTAACTTTGATTTTAGGCCACGTTCCTTCATCGTCAAATAAGATGAAGGTTTTCGATATTCAGACCTAAGACACTTCTGCTGGGCCTCATCCATTAGTGGAAACAGAAATCAGTTGGATGTGTCGAGACTCAATACGAATTCTCAAGCAATTTCCTGTCCACACATGTATTTTTGTACGTCATTGATACCGCACATATAGGAGGAGTATTTGACATGAATTGACTGGTGGAAGACGACGTTGGATTCTCTATATTGGTTTTATCACCACCAAGTGCACAAGTCCGCAAATTTGAGGAGAATGTGGCCGTCAACGACACACTGGTGAACTTTGGGAGATTTCCAGTGTCTCTCCGCGTTGGTGCAGCCGACCGAATATTCATTTTCGAAGATAATACAATCAAGTCTGATAGATTAGAAAGAAAAGAAATCTTAATAAATATTGGGGAAAGAAATTTACATTTTCGAGGATGGTGCCATCATGTCTGATAGATTAGAAAGAAAAGAAATCTTAGTAAATATTGGGAAAAGAAAGAATAAGTGGACATATGGATTTATGCAGCAACCGAACAATCATTCTTGGAAGCATATATAACAGTTTTAAGAGGCAAGAAAAATATTCTAACACACGTGACAACAATGACATTTGCACTAGTTGTCATGTTGCAACCAATTGCCACTGCCCTTTTGAGGATGTAAGTCGAGAATTGCAGTTACCAAAGTGAAACTTACTTCAAATTTTACCTATGGCGAAATTTTGTCCATAAAAGTAAAAAATGCTTTACACATTACATACTGCCACACCCAATTGGAATTCCTTTCTTTGATTCTCTCGTACTCACAGTAACAAACAAGTCCACAAGACAAAGGTGGACATCAACTGATACATATCTATATTAAAGACTTTAAGTTTCCATATTTTAGTTAAGTTATTTAATGAGGATTAGAATAAAGTGATGGATGGGCTTTTGCTTAGGAACCTTAATTTGTTTTATTAAAGTACAAGAGTATAGGTCTCTTAAGGAGGCAGAAAAGAATAGAGGAGCCTTTGGCTTAGGCAGGAGAAATTCTGATCGGCGTTCGCGTTTCTTTCTGTTTTCATTTAATTCTCAATTTTAGTTTTGGATTCTTCTTGCAATCCGCCCTTCCCTTTATCATCAACTTACCAAGAATGCTAAAATAATGGCAGTGACTCGATCATTTATTATTTGAAAGTCTAAAGTAGAAATAGTGACTAAAATATTTGTAAACTATACCCGCATATGAATTATAAAACACTACAAATGTAAAAATATGTGCTTGAGCAAGGTTGATATTAGATGACAAACCACTAAGGAATACCAGACCTCCAAAACATATATTATCACAATCGTTCTACTCACAATGATGACAAGAAAAGTATAATATTTAACAACTTAGCGTAGTTTTGTTGGCGAATATAAGACATTGAACGTGTGAAATACATAATATAAGAATCAACAATAGTGGAAGAAAGATATACGACAAATATCGTTGTCTTTTAGCTTGATTACTTCCTCCTCAAGGGATTGTTGCCTGTCCGGGCCGAGCTTACTTGTCTTTTGGATGACCGTCGCGTCGACTTGCAATCTATGGCAGGCGACCTTCAGGTCAATGCCAGCCATGTCCTCGTAGATCCACGCAAAAACGTATGCGTTGTTCCATAGGAATTGCGTGAATTCAGCTTTGATCGGCCCGTGCAACTTACTCCCGATCCACAGATGCTTCTGGCAAGTTTCTTCAGCAATGAAAATTATTTCCACTTCGTCCATTGATTTGGCCTTCTTGTGCTCTTTTTCTTCTCTTCATATTGGGTTAGGGGATTGAGCTCATCCTTTTCCTTGATTGGCTCCTTTTTGGTGGCCAAATCGGCATCCGACTCTTCTTGTGCCGGGCTGGCCCCGCTTTCAGCCCCGGGGTACGGACCTGTCTGTTCGACCAGCATGCGGTCGTCCCCCGTGCTTTGTGGTACCAACTCGACATCGATATTTACTTGGTTCGAATCATCCGCCCCTTCAGTTCCTATCTTCTCCACCTCGGGTTCGATTTCCATCATCTCGGCCCATTCATGAGAGTTGGCCGTGTTTATCTACGTTCGGGGAATAGCTAGGACGCACTCTCGTTCTTCGCTTTGGTCTGCCCGATGGATCCCCTTTCCATCGGAGGTTCGAAAATTTTAGCGAGTAGTGGAAAACTGATACCGTCGCGTGCAATTTGTATAATTTGTATGCAAAATGGCGTTGTACTCGTTCGGGCAGTCCACAATTTTGTAAGTCCCCATGGTGGTCTTTCCGTCGAAACCTTGGATCTTATCTCTGCACGGCCGTACTTCTTTCATGTTTACGCCCATTTTTTTGAATGTGTCGTAGTACAAAATGCTTGCTTAGGCCCCTGTATCGACCATGTGCACTTTGATTCCTAAGATCGGTGCTGTCATAAGTAGTGCATCGGAATGCGGATGGTCGATCTGAAATTCGTCCTCGTCATCAAAGGTGATTGAGTTTGGAATGGACGAGGGCGCCGGCCTGTTTGCACCTTCTGACCGGCATGATAAGCTCGGCGGGAGTAGGCTTTTATTTTTTTCATTAATTAATAAATGTCACAATATATACTCCTTTTTTTTTACATCATTTTAGTAAAAAAAAAAAAAAGTTAAGTAATCAAGAACGGATTAGTGGAATTGCATACCTGATCACGTGAGAAAATGGCCCAAGCACACTTCCTCTCATCATATTCACAACACACCTCAAGACTTGGGCAAGTGAATAGGAGGCAATTAAACCATTGACTATTACCAAGAAACTGCAAATTTTTTAATACAAAATAAATAAATAAATTAGGAATTCGTTGACCTAACTATTGAGAAAAGTTAATTATTTTGGGGGCACAATCAAGTGTTTCATTTAATTGTTCCTGATTCTAAATTTTTTAACCAGAATCCAGCATAGCAAAAGGAGGGCTTTTCAGAACTCTACTTTTTTGTTTCTAGAAATTTATGAAACTTGCTAGGTGCCCGGATGTGGCTCAGTTAATTATAATAATTTTAAAATAATACTAGTACAATCTCGTGCAATGAACGGGTAAGACAAATTCATTAATATTTATAAATTAAAAATTCTCATTAAATAATATTTATAAATGGAATACATTGAATCAATATGTAATACAATATATCAATATTAATTTATTGAAAGTGTTATATAAAATTTATATTGTGCAAAATTACATAAAAATATCTATTTAAAATTAGTACACAACTCGTACGTTGCACATAACTGATAATAAATTACGTTATATCGTTTCAAAATATGTCATTTTAAAATTTTATTCAGAAATTCGATTTGATTATAAAGTGATTCCATAATATAACTCTTTTGGTAAAATTTATCATATATTTTAAAATCTATGTGAATAATAAATATAAATGTAAAACTGATATTGTAGCATTAATTAAAATAAATTTATTTTTTTATAATATATCCAAATCAAAAAATTTAAGGAGTTGAGTAAAAACAACCAGTCATATTTTTTATGTCAAAAAATCGACTCTTTATCATGCTAAAAAAATGAAAAGTGCATTTCACACAAAAGTTATATGAAATGTCGTAAAGAAAAATGAATTAAATCGACTCACTAATTAAAAAAAAAAAAAAATTGACCAGAATTTTTTCTATAAAAAACATCGATACACGCACATTATATCAAAATATCTGTTCATATTATTTTTTTGGAGTTACGGTAATTTTATCATGTTAATTTCATATGAAGAAAAAATGAAACCCACACCTAAGAACCAATATATTAGCTTGCGCATGATTAATTTTTCAACAAATTTGAAATTTCGTACCAAAAAACAGTCATCAAATAATCTAAATAAGATTGCTCACTTTATACCATATATTAATTAATTTATTTTCTATATAAACAACCATCAATACCAAAAATAAATTCGTCTACTTTATACCATATATTAATTAATTCACAGGTTTTGAGTAATCAACGTATCTTAAAATATGACTTAATTACTTCCTTCGACACTTTATACCATATACTAATTAATTCAAATTATTTAAGTAATCAAGGTATCTTAAATTATGGCTTAATTACTTTCTTAAATAATGAGCCGCAATTTCCATAAGTGATCATTTGAAATATACCATAAATTATTAAATTAATTTCCCGAAATAGGAAATAGATTATTTTGGAGGGAAATAGTTACTATTTAAAAAATAATCAAACCTTTTTATATATATATATATATATTAATATAATCGACAATTTATAGCATAAATACACATTGTTACTAAAAAAAGAAAAAATTGCCTTTAATATTACGACCATTTTCAAAATTGCAATTGAATCACGACATTTTTACTTTTGCAAATCATATCACAATCTTCAGTTTTCACTACAAGAATGTGATGAAATTCCAATGGAGATCAACAAAAAATTATTCCGTTGGAATGAGTTTTCTATTGGAATTTCCGTTGGATTTTGACGATTCCAATAATACATTTTCACGGTTAAAATATTGGTGAAAATAAAAATTCCAAAGGAAATTATATATTCCTACGATAAAAAACCGTTGGAATAATGGTCGTTAGAATGATAAAATTTCATCTAAATTGCAATGAAAAAATCATTCAAACGGAAGAATTTCGTTGGAATTTTTGTTGGAATAATTCCGACAGAAACTATATCTTTGGAACTTCTTTTGGAATATATTAATGTAGGCTATTTCGTTAGAATATGAGATTTTTTTTGTAGTGTTGTTGCAAAGGAGTGCACCGATTTGTAGAACCCGTGCAAACTATATCACAATCTTCAACTTATTATTTGGTTACATCAGCTTTTGTGGGGTTGGTTTTAAGAACCCATATACCGATTTGCAATAAACTGAATATTGTGATATAATTTGCAAAAGTAAGAAAAAAAGTCGTGATTAAATTGCAATTTTAAAAAAGGTCTTGATAGTAGGAACAATTTTTCCTTACAAAAATGTACGACGAGTCGACTCAGCCTAATGATTATGCATTCCAACACAATATTTTGTAATTCATCAAATATTGAAGCTCATCATATATGCTACTTTACATATACCCAACAATCATTAAAGACATTTTAATCATAATAATGAAGAAAAAGGGGCATAATCAAAGGACTTACACAAGGGCTTTCATGTCTGTAAACATGGCCTTTTTCTGAATAGTGAAAATTTCCTTAACCTGAGTATCAGTGGCAATTAGCACAGCACAAAGAATGGCTAAAACACAAATGACACATCTCAACATCAATTCTGCTACCCTCACTCTCCTGTCCACGACCTTTAAGCTGCTCCGGTGGTACACTGGAACATTACCTGGACTCACACACACACACCATAACTCATCGTTTTTTTTACATATGTTTTTTAAGTTTTAGGTCATTACACCTAAGTATATAGATTTTGGGAAAGTAGAAAAAATGTGTAAGAAATGTTAGGAAGGGTGACAGCATGAATGAATATAATTTAATATCAGAAAGCTAATGGACAAGTCCTAGGAATGGTGTATACATTTTCTCATTAATATAGACAAAAGCATTTATATTTTTCATTTTTTTATGGTACAAAATATTTAGGGTGGGATATTGGACATAAATTTTTTGGGTGTGATTTGGATTTATTGAATAAAGTAAACTAAAATTGAAACAAATGTGATTGAGGGGAGTTTTGAATTGGATTGTGAGTGTGTTTTTGGAAATAGGTATAAATATAATGATTGAAAATATTGTGATTCTAAAGTAGGAGAGTAATGATTAGATTCAAATGATTGTATTTAAAATCATGTGATTGGATGAATAGTCAATTTTTTTATGTAATGTATGTTGATTGATTGATATTATTTAATTGTGTTTAAAATAATATTGAGAAGAATTAAATTGAATTAGATTTGAGTTGGATTCTCAGATATATAATTGAATTTAAAATTGGTTGGTTGATTTGATATGGATTTGATTTGTTAAAAATCGTACTGTTAATGATCCATAGTTAATTGAAAACAATAGGCTCCTGGCCAGATCTGTCTAGAGTCGTCGGGCGTTCCCCTCCAGGTGCTCGGTTCGGGGCTTCTTTGGTCATCCTTATCTCCTCCTGTTGTTGAAGATCTTAATTTGGAGTGCAGATATGGTTTGAGAATCGTTTCCTAGCCAGATCTGTCTAGCCGACTTGAGTTGGTCACAGTTTTTGGGTCTGGAGTCCGAGTTGCTACTCTGTTGGGATTGTGTGTTGCAGGCTGGGTTTGATTGAGTGTTGGTATAGGTGGCTGTGTGTTTTGCCTTCACGTTTTATATGGGAGGTCTTATTTTATTTGTTAGTTAAGTTTGTATCGTTTCTATTTTTTGTCTCGTTTTAGTATGATTCTCGATTCATTCATTTTCTTCCTTTAATTTGTTTATATATAAAAAAAATAATCTGTTCATTTAGAGTTCATGTTATGTATATAGGTGCCAAATTTGACGGAGGTAAAGATTGGCACCAGAAGCTTTTGTCACGCATTCATGGTGGAATTGAATGTTGACCTAATCACACAATGAATAATTACTAATTTGTCCGACCTTCGAAACATCATTTAATAAGGAAGGCTTTAAAGATTTTTGGACAGTCTTTTCCTGGGAAGGGGCAAAGGTTTGTTGTCCCAAGAAATTAGAAGAAAAAAGAGATATGGAGATACAGGTCTTGCTTGACACAGCTCTTTCAGTTTTATTACTCCTTTGATTTTCAAATTTATTTTGTTATTTCAATTTAAAGAAACAATAAAGAGTTATTTATATTAGATGTTTATGAATCTTATTGCACATGATATGTTTTATTGGCATCATGGCATGCATATTATAATTGGCATAATGTAATTTTTTTTTTTAGATAAATGATTTTAATTTGAACTTCGGTGAAGAAGAGGTGAAATAATATTGTTACTAAAAAAAATAAAATAATAATATTGTTTCCATTTTATGAATTAATATAACTATAACTTTAATAATGATGTGATGAGTAATATTGAATGCATGCTAGGAGTGTTTTGGTAATACATTTAGTGATGTCGTGTATAAGTATACCAAGAAATGATTTAATGGAATAAACAATTTGAAGATACATGAAACCAAATAACGGGAGTCGTAAGTAGTGTTTATTCATCATTCATTGATTCTATTTATTAATAATGGAGTCGTGTATGGAGGTTCTGAGTACTCCCATTCCTGCATGGAAAAAAGAGATGAATATTGCAAAATGTTATCAAGATTAGGATTTCATATGTGAACACATTACATGGCATGGGCAGGGGCGGAGCCAGGATTTGAAATCTACCCGGGCTAGAATTATTTAGATTAAAAAACGTTATTTTGAATTATCTTTTACTAGCATGATTTAATATTTCAACTTATCAAGTCTTTAATTTTAAACTCACTAATAATAAAAATAAAAGAGGCAAAGAGGCAACCATGTACTAAATGTGAAAAGGATAAATTAATAACTGAAGTCTAAAAATGTAATTTTCTCGATAAATAATAATATGTATATCTTGAAATAACGTAAAAAATAATTTTTTTAATGCTATTTATTACCTATCATTATCAAATACACTCTACAAAAAAATTATGAAATTCCAACACAAAATTTCAACGAAAATATATTTCCATTGAATTTAAAAGGCAATTCCAATGGACATTCCATTGCTACTATTTTCGTTGGAATTTAGTGAAATATATTTTCGTTGAAATTGCATAATTTTTCTTGTAGAGTGTATTTGGTAATGATGGGTAATAAATAGCATTAAAAAATTATTTTCTACATTCTACATGATTACATGAATGTCTATTTGTAGATTATCAAAAAATTATTGATTTTAACTCATAAGATATGTATAAAATATGGACAAAAGAATACATATACATAAACTAATATAGAAAGTGAAAATTCTTTTCACAATATATTTCTAAGAAATAGATTTCTCACCAATACTTTTCAAAAAAAAAAAAAAAAAAATTCAAACACTAAATAAATAATTTCAAAAGTTCATTAGATGGTAATTCAAAAATATGATGTTGTGTTATTTATTTGTGCTGTTGGTTTTACTTTAGGTTTTAATTATTTGGGCAAATAGGACTTAGAAACAAAAAGTGGACTACTATATAGATTGACTTCATTTTTAACATACAATGCTCAAAATATTTGAAACTTTACCCGGGCTACAGCCCAGGTTCATTTTAAAGTAGCTCCGTCCCTGGGCATGGGCTATAATAATATTTATGTATATAGCAATAAATATTTTATTTATAAGTAGAACTCATTTTATTTTAGATATTCTCAAAAGGAGAAAAACTTGGCATGAAAGATATAGCTTGATAATTGTTTGAGTCTCTCGAGTATGTGGGACAGAATCAGTCGACAAGCCTGAAAAAAAGATCGATTGACCGAAAATGTAAATTCGATTACGTTGGAGTTGCTTTCAGTTTTGAATTTGATTTTCCAAAAAGAGAAAATAGTATCATCACTTTCTTTAGCGAAGGAATAGAGGCAACTTATTCGGATGCAAAAACTTTAGTTCGACTTTTTTCTTCAGACCTGACATTGAATATGGTAAAACATATAGTTGAACAATTGATATAACTAGTAACTAGACATGACTTACAATAAACACCGTTGAACATGTGTTTAAATTATAAAGATTAAAATTGAATTTGAAGGATATGTTTAATTGTGTTATTTCATCGTCTATCATGTGTTTTCAAAGTTCCTAATGGAAAATGTTCAGAGAAAAAACTGTCTAGATGGCCAACAAAAAAACTTTATACTGAAAGTATATATAACTATATACAAAAAAATAGGGAAAATTTCACTTTTGGTACCCTAAGTATACATACTTTTCAGTTTTGATACCCCTGGTTTTAATTTAATCATTTCAGTCACTCAAGTATTCAAAATCCATCATTATCCCAAATCGTCAGTTGACCGTGAGTCAACTGACGGCCACCTTCTCTAGCAGGTCATCTCCTTCTGGGGAAATTTCACTTTTGGTACCCCAAGTATACATACTTTTCGGTTTTGATACCTGTTGATATCCGGGTCGGGCTCGTATGAAGGTAACGATCCGAGGGACCGGGCGAAGTCGGCCCGACCGATGGGGCCGGTTACAGAATTGACTCGGAGGTGCCGATCTGAGCCTAGGTCAAGGTCAACGAGAGCGGCGGACGGCTTTGTTTCCAAGGTCGGCACCTTATCTTCCCCGTTAAGGAGCCGGCCTGGTTAAGTGCCTTGTAGAGATGGGATCCGGAAGACCGGGGGATGGACTGAGTGCCAGAGCCCGGCCTGGGATCCCAGGAGGCCGACCTTCGTAAGAGTTAAGGCTCTGGGAAACAGTGAAAGGAGGCCACTTGTCAATCAATGATTATCGATGGGACATCTCAGACTAGCCTGCAGGTCTAGAATATCTAGCCCGGCCAGATAGCACGTCCGCATTTAATGCAGGACACAAACATTAAATGTCCTGCAGGTAATGATTGGAAGACCCAGAAATCACTCCCAACCAGTCAGAGAAACGCCGGCTTGTCTTACCGAGTTACTGTATGACAAGACCCACGAACAGTATCTAAATAGTGTCGCATTTAAGGACCCTATAAATAGAAGCTTTGAGCATTTATTTTGAATTGTTGAATCCCCAACTGTCTACTCTCTACTTTCTCTCTCTAAGCTTGTAAGCTACCTGTGTAAGAATTTGTAAGGATATCGCAAGTGCCGACCTCGTACGAGAGGCCGAACTCGTGATCAATTAATAAAATCGTATTTGAACCGTATTCTCTTGTTTTTCCCCTATTTCGTATTCGTTTTCCTATTTCTTTAACCGTTGATCGAAAACGTCCATCAACTATTCAGATACTGTTCGTGGGTCTTGTCGTACAGTAACTCGGCAAGACAAGCCGGCGTTTCTCTGACTGGTTGGGAGTGATTTCTGGGTCTTCCAATCATTACCTGCAGGGCATTTAATGTTGGTGTGGGCTGCATTACATGCGGACGTGCTATCTGGCCGGGCTAGATATTCTAGACCTGCAGGCTAGTCTGGGATGTCCCATCGATAATCATTGATTGACAAGTGGCCTCCTTTCACTGTTTCCCAGAGCCTTAACTCTTACAAAGGTCGGCCTCCTGGGATCCCAGGCCGGGCTCTGGCACTCAGTCCATCCCCCGGTCTTCCGGATCCCATCTCTACACGGCACTTAACCAGGCCGGCTCCGTAACGGGGAAGATAAGGTGCCGACCTTGAAAACAAAGCCATCCGCCACTCTCATTGACCTTGACCTAGGCTCAGATCAGCACCTCCGAGTCAATTCTGTAACCGGCCCCATCGGTCGGGCCGACTTCGTTCGGTTCCCGGTCCCTCGGATCGTTACCTTCATACGAGCCCGACCCGGACATCAACAGGTATCAAACCCGAAAAGTATGTATACTTGGGGTACCAAAAGTGAAATTTTCCCAGAAGGAGATGACCTGCTAGAGAAGGTGGCCGTCAGTTGACTCACGGTCAACTGACGATTTGGGCAATAATGATGGATTTTGAATACTTGAGTGACTGAAATGATTAAATTGAAACCAGGGGTATCAAAACCGAAAAGTATGTATACTTAGGGTACCAAAAGTGAAATTTTCCCCAAAAAAATATTACTAATGTCCATCTCGTACAAGATTTAACATTCGTCATTAAACTTTGACCTCTTTTTCTTATAATTGTCAACCAAATCGATTTCGTCATTTTTTTTTCTAGTTGGGTCATCCATTTCAACGTCATCTTCGTAGATGTCGATTTTCATCTCGTTCATGACGCAACCGCGACGCGGCTGAAAGCGCCGAAAGCTAAAGACATCTCAATCACGACATCATTGAGATCGTCTTCAATAATAAAAAATAGAGCCGACGAGTCGGTGAAGTGCACATGTAGAGTGGAGCTCCGACGACGCCCCCATCCATGTTTCCGAATTTCGAAAATACCCCTTCCAACCGCAATACCCAAACATATAGAGCATACAACATAAAATCTAGGTTCAACATTAGGCCACAACACATTAGAAGTCTACAACACAAGCAAACTTTTACATTCAGTCCCTTCAAACAAGAGCAAGTTTAACAATTACACAAAAACTACAATACACTCAGATATCGACAAACATAATTAATACCACATAAAATTCCTTAAAATAGCATCATTCGCTACCTAACTGAAACTAGAGATGAGCCAAACTGAAAGCATAAGCGTATAGGTCATATAATGAGAAGTTACCCATCCTTAACAATGTGTCATAGCAACTAAATAAAAAACCACTCGAAAATAGGCATCAACATAACAAAAAAAAAAGAAAAAATACTAATCTCCCTCCTTCAATTGATTGTAACACCAGCAATATCTGAAAAACATGAATAAAAGTTAGGAGCATGGTAACGAATCAAGTAAACCAAAGGGAGAACAGGAAATGTACAAACAATATAATAATAAATAAACAATAAAAGTATGAAAAATGACCATTTAAACAATCTAGTCTCACATACGAAATTAAACTGGGGTCACGTACATGCCAACACCTACCTTTAATTATTATTGTTTCCTACAATGAGCTGTCAAATAAGCGTGCATGACCCTTAACCAGCTCAAATCACTAAAGAATACCAGACCTCCAAAAAACATATATAGTCACAATCGTTCTACTCCTATTGACAAGTAGAATTTAGTAAGCACGCATCACTTCTGATAATAAAAGCTTACATTTTCGAGGATGATACCATCAAGTCTGATAGATTAGAAAGAAAAGATATCTTAATAAATATTGGGGAAAGAAAGATCAAGGGGACATGTGGAGTTATGCAGCCGACCGAACAATCAATTTTGGAAGCAGGTCTAATAGTGTCAAGAGGCAAGAAAAATATTCCAACACTCGTGATAGCAACGACATTTTCACTAGTTGGCATGTTATAACCAATTACCACTGCCCTAAGGGGATGTTGCAGTGACCTAGGTTTGCCATATTTTGTATTGTTGTACTTTTCCAACTAGAAACATTTTTACTATATCCATGAAAGTAGTTTTTTTGGGCAAATATAAGGTATTGCATAAATAATATATATACATACACATGCTTGTGACATATAGAAACTTGAAGTATATACGTGTTTCAGTGTTGGAACTCCATAGTTTTATACCGTGTGATGTATAATAAACTTAATAAGTATTACTTGTTTCAGCAAAGAAGGGTTTGTTTGTCTTTGAAAATTATTTTCTATTTATAAACTCTCTCATAGCCAAAGGCTCCAACTCAAACTGAATAGATGACAACATCGAGCCACCAAACACGTTGTATAACAAGAAATCACCAAAAGAAAGATAAAATGTACCTGACCACCAATATAGAGAAATGCGTCATCATGCTCTAAGATTTATTGAATATGTCCAACAGCTCCTCACCACCATCCTTCTTGTTGCGCCGCGTCGAAAACTTCTTCCCATCCCGCCCCTACTATATTTCTTTTAATAGAAGGTCCCGCCTCTATAAATATTAAATAATAGATGAATAGAATAGGCAAGGAAGGTTATTTGTTCAACGATTCTTTCGTACTCTTTGTTCCCTTCAGAAAGCATGGCTACCATCCGTCTCAATTTCTCTGGCTTTATTCGTAGGGGTATCGCCGGAGCCTCTCACCACCGTTTCAGTTCCGACGTCAGTAACCACAAAGTCCAATGTGCTATTTAGGGAACACTTTCCTTCTATATATGTTTGCAAATAACAAGTATATATACCAACTTCAGCCAGGTGAGTGTGCTTAGCTCGTGTGTGTTTTGATTTTTCAAATATTTATGCAGAGGCATGTGATTTATCCCCGGGCAAGCCAGTGCCCAGATACCATGAAAAGGATGAAATTGTTATATCTACCAACACCACCGAGGTCTTGACACTTAAATTGCCCATGCACAGGGAGGGTGTGGTCGTGAGGATGGAGGAGGCCAAACTCGTGGTCATATGTGAATAAAAAGGCAGATACTATGTGGGGCTCCCAATGGAGCTCTGCCGGGAAGAGATCCGGGCATGGATGTCCGAGAACGAGCTAGAGGTTGTAATTCCCAAGAGTTCGGAGCAGCGGCCGAGGAGGTGAAGGGTGTGGTGGATGTAGTAGTGAGCCAAGTGTTTACTGTTTGTAAACAACAGAAACCATCATATAACAACTAACCACCGCAAACACTTAGCTCACTACTATATCCACCACACCCTTCACCTCCTCGGCCGCCGCCCCTGGGAATTACAACTTCTAGCTCGTTCCCGAACATCCCCACCCGGATCTCTTCCCGCTTGCAGAGCTCCATTGGGAGACCCACATCGTATTTGCCTTCTTCTTCACATATGACCATGGGTTTCGCCTCCTCCGTCCTCACGACCACACCCTCCCTATGCGCCCTGGGCAATTTAAGTGTCAGGTTTTCGGTGTTAGTGGTAGATATAACAATTTCATCTTTTCCATAAGATCTGGACATTGGCATGCCAGGGTTAAATCCCAAACCTCTGCATAAATATTGGAAAAATCAAACACACACGAGTGGAACACACCCACCCGGCTAAAGCAGGTATATATATTTGTTATTGGCAAACATATATAGAAGGAAAGAGTACCGTAAATAGCACATTGGACTTTGGGTTACCGCCGTCATAACTGAAACGGTGGTGAGGGGCTCCGGCGATGCCCTATGGATAAAGCCGGAGAAATTGAGACGGATGGTGGCCATGCTTTCTGAAGCCAACAAAGAGTACGAGAGAATCACTCTGAACAAATAATCTTTGTCGCATATTATATTCATATATTATCTAATAGGGGCAAGACCTTATATTAAAGGGGCCCGCTACAATGCACCATTCCTTATTCCATTTTAGTCCATTAGATACTAAATATTAATACAAGGAATGTTGTGGGCTAAACCAAGTACACCAAGCAGCAAGTCACGAAGCCCACTGAATATAGAGAATACAGAGGGAATAGAGTGGAATGGTAGTTTTAAAATAAATGATAGTTGATTATATTACACCGTATTGTAATAAGAAAAATGTGGAATAATAATAAGAAAAAAAGTACAGGTGATGCTTAGGGACTAATTTTCAGAAACATATCAAAATGTGGAATTTTCTTATTACTGATTAGCAAAGACCACATGTATTACCACTGCCCCATATTACCCCTTTCAGTCAGAATCTTAATTTGGTTATTGCATGAATATCAAAATAGTCTTATCTGATCTCCAGTCAAGAGTTGAATGCAAATTATGTTATGAGTGTTCAGAGTTGAATGCCGAACAACGAGGCATTTCCGTATCAAACAAAGAGCAACTGATCAAACAAGATAATTGCAAACATATATGTAAATGTGTTAAAAAAAACTAACCAAACTTAACACTTTTTTGTGCATCAGATTCATAAATGACATAGTAATTACATGGCAGCATAGAGGATTTTGAAAAATTATAAAATGGAAATTAAATGTTTGTTCATTAAATTAAAGACAACAATATTGTTCATTGAGTAATCAACAAACTTCTAGTGGTGACAATGGGACTATAATATTTAGATGTAAACAACCAAGGTTACTCAAATGACATTAGTGGGCAATTAGATAAAGTGTTACTTTGCAGTTTTAGTTTTGCAACAGGAAACAGTGAGACAAATAAAGACACAAATAATCTTTTTCTACCAAATTGTCAACCTATTAAGGCCATATATTTTTCTTATATTATAAGAGAGATAATACGCACCGGGGTGGGACAGGGTTTGGGACCCAGACTTGGCCCGCTCAGCTAACAGGTTGAATTTAGCCCATTCACCACCTAACTGAAACTAGAGATGAGCCAAGCTATGAAACCACAAGCGTAGATCATATAATGAGAAGATACCCATCTTTAATTAGCAACCAAATAAGAAACCATCCGAAAGGCATACCA